AAACTGCGATGGCCCAGAGTTAACAGGTCAGCCATATATACCAAGTAACGCACTTTTTCAAGAAAACAATCACTTGCTGCTGTTTCCTTTATGGGTAGCCAAGTGGATTAGTTTCATGCTGTAACATGAGGCCAAGGCAAAATTAACCTCAAGATTATTGTGATGCAGAAGATGAATTTAATTGAACTTCAATAAAGTAACTAAACTTCACTAAACTTCCCCTCAATAACAGGCCACCTACTATTATAAAGAAACTCCCTTTCTCTTCCTGACACTTCATCAGTTAATACTACGCGTATGATCTCACTTCTTTGCACGGCTTGGTTACTCACCATCTCAGAACTCCAGTATCTGTAATACCTCATCCTCTCCTCCCACATCACGCGGTGATCAAGAAAATCAGCAGGCAATGATTTTCAAATGAGTGTACCTAAATCCTATTCCCATGTTATGCTGAAACCATTTACAACAGAAATCAGTTTAGAACCCATTTCACTGATAAGAATCACCATGGGAAAACCATGACCTGCCTTCCACAGACCCTCCCATGGATCTGTCAGCTCTGTAAGCCTATTTGTTTCACTAAATCAGCTGCCCACATAAAGTCCATGGCAAAGCAAGTACAGCTATTAGTCCAGTGAGTCAATGGCCATATGCATGCACAAACTGAAAATAAAGGTGGATGGTCTCTTCACATTTACCACTCTGTGAATGTTTTGAAATAAATAACAATGGCCACTGTCAATCAAGGGAGTGGAGAACAGATGGGAAGGAGTTTGTGTTGAGAGAAAGAACTCAAACAGGAGTATGTATTTTCTCCCCCACCTTCTTTATCTGATAACAGCCCTAAATAAACCCTTGCACAGGTCCAGATACAGGCAATCTTCATCAGTGTGTTCCAACATTCCATGCAACTCTGGCTGCTTTACAGCACAGCAGAATCACAGATATTAACACATCTACAAATCGCTGCAACATCAGAATGTGTGTTTGAGATTCACCCCACTCCTTCTGTGCATCAACCCCTCTACTCAGCATTACGGTCATTTCATCTACTGTCACCTGCAGGCAGGTCTGACAACAGATTAGATCCTGGAAAGAAAACAGTCCCTATTAATGGTGAGTCTCAAACTCCTCCCCTCCTGGACAAAAAACTCAGGGCTAGCTGAATTTCTCAGCTTTCTAACTTTTGTAAGAAAGTATTTTGTATTTATGTTTTTAAAAGAAGTGAATGCTTACTTGATGGCTGCTATATGGTCCAGCAAAACAATTGCTGAATCTCCAGGTTTCTCTCCGGTGCTAAAAGTTTAACATTACAACTTGAATTAAGATTTCGTAATAGATTTTGTAGCAAATTCACTTGAGGATGCAGATTTAATGTAAGAAGGCAGTCTGTGGCACACATTTGTATGTAACAAACATTTTCAGAAAAATAATCTAAAACTTTAAATAATGTCTAAATAACTCTCAATAAAAAGCAGGTTCCAGATTCCCATTCATAGTAACATCATTGTGTACAACTCTAGTTGCACAAAATAGCCTTTAAAACAGATAAAAATGATGGGCTTCTACGCTGCCAGATCTTGTTACTCTTTGCAACCGATTATCAAGAACTTGTTCCCAGTACAACACTGAATACCTAAACATATCTAAAAAATTAGGCAAAACATTGTGCAAGGATTACATTAGGGCTGTATTTATGACCTATTCTCTGTTCCACCTCAGCTGAAGTGCAGTCTGTATCTGAACGACAATGGCTTCACTCTTGCTCCTAAAATCCCACAGGAAGGCAGAGCGCATTACGCCACGGCAAGCAAAGCAGCATCCAACCCTTGAGATTTCCCATCCTGCAGAGACGGGCAATATTACCCTCCAGCCTCAGCTGTTGTGATAGGTCTTAAACACAGCAGAATTATGGTGGTTCCCAAAGGGAGTGACACGAAGTGAGTATTTACCTTCTTGGCAGTGTGGGGGTAGACAATTGATGGCATATCAGAATTTAACTGGCAATGCAGATTCAGAAAGGTAGAAAACTAAAATCAGGCTAAATCAGTAGCTATGAATATTGAACAGTAGAAGGGGCTGAAAAATCATTCTGCGCTCAGCCTCAGGTGTCACACAGGGGGCTTCTTGCCCCACTTTTTTCACTCCCCTCCTTGCAAAAGACCCCTCATTAACATTGATCTGGAAAGACGGGCAAAAAACCACTTTGGTTTACATATTAACAAGTAATCACTAGTACTGTAAGCAGCCAAGACAGTGTGTATTTCAAGAACTATCCAACCTTCTTGAAAACAAAAAAACACACTGGATAAAAAAACACAAATAAAGCCCCCAAAACCCAAACAACAATTTGTTTGTATATTTTGTTTGTATGGCATGTTTTTCAGTTAGTTGTGAAAACAACAAAAAAGAACAGCATGAACTACATACCTTAGCTATCTGGACACACCAGTTTAGCAGAAGCTGGGAGCCAATATTATCTTTATGTTCATGAACATAATCCAACAGGCAGCCATGAGGCATCAGCTGAGTTACTAGTTGAATGGTTGGGCTCAAGCAGACACCCAGGAGTCTTACCAGGTGCGGGTGGTCCATGCTGGCCATGATAAGAGCTTCCTGTAACAAGAAAAGTGACCCAGTTACTCCAGTGTGCTTAAAGACTCTGTGCACAAAAGATTTCTCATTTCCCATAGAGCACCTAAAGGGGATCAGTGTCCCTTAAGTACCATGAACCCCTGTGTTGTCTATCTGGTGCTAGGCATACTTAGGCAAAACCCAGTCTGATGTAATGTACGCTTGATGTAATGAGCCCCAAGCAATGGATCAAGAGTATCTGAACAGATCCAGTGAAAGCTCAGATCAGAAATTCTGAACTGCCCTATATTCCCGTTCCATTACAGTCACAGAAGCAAATATGTAAGTGTGACACACTTGACTTTGCTTCAAGGTTTCACTGGTCTTGTTTTACGTCCCTTAATTTTGTTTCTTGAATAAATTTTCCCAGTTTGTGGTCAATCCATTAGGCATCAGCTCTTTTTTGTGCAAGCAAACTATGCCACTCATGTATAGCTAGACGGCCAGTTAGGCCCCATTTGGCCAGATATTTAAGCTGTGCTAATATGCCTTACTGGATCACAGATTTTATGCTTAGTATTTTATAGGCTTAAGCATGTAACATTTATATGTTGACTGAAGCTTTCCCAAAGCTCAACCTGCACAGGGTTAAGAATCAAGACGTTTAGTGTGGGCTTTTCAAATGGGTATGATGCTCTTAAGTCCTACTGAAAGTCAGCAGATTCGTTAAGCCATTAGGATATGGCCATGCTACTGTCTCCATGACTGTTGTACAGCAATAACCTAAACTAGTGGTCATGATGGCACTGTAGCAGCTCAGCTGCAGTAGCAGTCCTGCCTGTCTCCTGATGTTGCCACAAGCAGACAACTACAGAAAGCAGCAGCTTTCTAAATCTGAGCCTCTTAGCTCAGCTCCTGATTCTTCCAAAGTCCTCTCTCAATAAGTCTTCGGTGACTTACTTTAGTTTTTCCCATGCTTTAGCTTCCCATGCAGTAAACAAGAAATAATATTCCTTTCCTTCTTCTACATTTTATCTTTTGCAGATCATAAGTTTTCAGAGGTTTTCAGCTAGCAAGCTAGGTTATCCAATACCAAGGACCAGAAGGACTTAATCTTGGCTATGCTATTTGGCCCTAAAGTTTGTACCACTGACAAGTAGCACAGGAGCTCCTTATGAGAAACCTACATATCTGTTTTTGAGATAATGCTGCCATCACAAGCAACTGGCATTCAAAAAAGGCAGGGAGACAGCTTTTCTCTCTCTTTCACTAAGATGAGTCCTCCATTTCAAGACCACTTAATCATGGCAACGAAACAATGAAAAAGTGAGATAAAACTGTGGCTTTGTAAAGCTATTTTGATTCTCTTTCTTTCTCAAAAAACCTACATGACATCTTTATGACAACTTAAAGAATATCAGCTGTAATAGTGCCAAAGAAAGAAAAAAAGGATGAGAAGAAGTAGGCATCAGGAACACAGCATATCCCCCCATCTCATAAAAGGTTTTTTTTCCTTCCCTATATTAAGGCAAAAAAAGGTCCTGGCAAGTAGGCTGAGTTTGTATTAAAGGAAATTGCTCATCATAGTACAAAGAATATTTGAAACCAAATTGTAGAGTATTTGCATAATAGTTCTCACTCTTTCTTTCCCTCTCTTTTTTTGTTAAAACAAAAAGATTAACAAGACACTAATTGTAGGGTTTTTCCCCCCCCAATAAGAAAAGAGCAGATGGCCTCCATTGGGGGGAGTATCTCCTTCCTTTTTCTTCCTAAATGTATGTGAAGAAATAAAATAAATAAACGAATAAATAGGGGCTATTTGATGGGATGACTGGAGAAGGAGCTCTGAGGATGATTCCAATATAACAAATTAGAAAAGGGATCTTAATTTAAGTAGTCTTTCTCACATGTAAATTGATATAGTTCTTGCTTACTCAACTCGTATATGTGGGATCTCCTTGAAACAATTTTAGCCTCTCTTCTGCTGTCACTAGAAAATGTCACTGAAGGCCACCATAAAAATGCCTGTTCACAGGTGCATTATCCAGTTTCCGAGCACAACATTACTCTGCCTCATTTTTTTTTGGCCCCATTCATTTTTCTCCTGTAGATGCATACGAGGATAGTACTTGTTGCCCACTCCCTCTCTGAGTAAAGGTAAGAGTTTCACCAGGAACCTGGAGCGAGAGTACTTTTTTTTATAATGAGGTCTGATTAGAACATAGACAATATATTCTTTTTGCTCACCAAGGGACCAGATGGAAAGCTTTGAAGCATGCGCTCCATTAGTCTCCAGCTACTTGCCATTTACAAGTCTGAGTCTGAAGGAAAGACACTTCTGCACAATAATAAAAGCAAGCAGTGCCATTTGTCTCATTCTGATGTTATGGGAAAACACATATTCTTCCAATAGTTTTGGGCAATGGTTCCAGAAAAAAATAAAAATGTGATTAATAAAATATTATGGACTGCTCTGTAATGAAGTGAGACACACAACAGAGAGCAAGGAAACCTTCATTATAGAGCTAAGTCACTAAAGGATACAAATTTAGCATGAATCCTGACTTCACATAGTTATTCTCATTAGTAAAAGTATTGTTATTTTTATTGAACAGCATCTACAGGAGAACTAAATTCAGGGTTATGTCTATCTGGCACAGCACAAACACAGAGTAAAAGAGATTGCTATTGTTCTGCTAGAGCATAATTAGACAAAACAGACAAACAACAACAACAGAAACATTATGACTTAGTAGCATTTTAAAAAACTGTTCAGCAAATAAGGAATACGAGTCCCCATTTTAAAATCTGTTTGGACACGAAAGACCCCAGAGCTGCAATCTCCATGGCACTTAGGCACTCTGCAGCCTGGTTCCAAATCAATTTTTCTAAAACATTTAGTCAGGTAAGGCACCTAAACTCACAGACTTGGCTGTCTGACACTGGCATCTTTCAAAACCAGCCTCTGCAATTTCCTGCACCTTCTGGTAGCCTTACATCTGCAGATCTTGTCTCTGTACTCAGTTGGCACAGTCACATGAACGATTTTAAAATTGTGCCTATTCTAATTTAATGGAGAGAAAACTAAGGTATAGAGAAGCACAGCCTACTATCCATGGTCACACAGAAAGTCTACACCAGAAGCAGGAACTGAGCCACAGGTCATTTTATCCTTCTCTCCTGAAAAAAAAATGCTTTGAAGGTTGAAATAAAAAAGGGGAGGAGGGAAGAGAAATTAATAAGTTACAGTACTTTATCTTTCCCCCAGGAGCCAGAGTCTTTGTAACATCATGTGCTCACACTAACATCTGAGAAATGACAGGAGTGGTGACAGTTTTGAAAGGCTCCTGTTGGACATCAGGCACCCTCCTTCATGTATCTGCAGGAGCAAGAAGTCTTACCACAAGAGTAACTCCCCAGCCAAACCAAATCTCTTCCTGGAGTTTGTTTATGCTACTGTCGCTGGTATTAATTATCACAGCAGTGCGTGGCAGCCATACACAGGACAGCTATAAGCCAGCCAACTTAGACACAGGCAGCAGCTGTGCAACTCAGCTTGCCCTTACCTGTAAGCTGTATTTTGCAGTCTACAGTGAGTCCTGACCAGGTGAGGCTAGGGTACTACAAGATCTCAAACGAGTTACTTAAAACCAAGGCTGTGTATGTATATTCTATTCACAGCAGTGCTTACAGTGTTAATATACCCGAGGTGAAGGCTGGCAAAGAAAGACCTTGATGCAGAAGGCAGCTAATTCCACAGGTAGCTTGACAGAGCCATTGTTGTGTCCCTCCAACCTCATCACAGAGAGAACAGTAAGTGACTTTAATTGAGCCTTCCATGTTCAGCTCAGTATTACACTTCTCAGATATGCTATTTTGTATAAAGATATCACGTCATGTTAATCATTCCTCTCTTCTGCCCTTTTGAATGTGGTTGAATTATTGCCACATTAAGCTCAACTCCTGTGATTTCTATACACAACCCTGTATCTAACAATTCTATTAAACAATGACATAAACGTTATTTTAATGCTTTACACTGATCTGTCTGTCATGTGCATTTAGTAACACAACAGCATACCCAAGAAGAAGGGTGAGTTCATAGGTCCCAGTGAGCCATCACCAGACCTATGACTCCAGTTTCTGTCAGCAGCGCTATGTCAACAGGGGTCTGAGAAGGTGCAATTGCTAACCCACATCAAGATGCCAAAAAAGGCCCTCAAAGCACCTGCCATTAGACTGCCAAGACATGCTTAGACATGTAGAGCTTATTTAGTCATGAGAGCTGGCCATCACTGTAATGATACAATGCATAGCTACATCCAGTCTAAAAGCACTTGTCAATAGAGACGACAAAGGGAACTAGCCGCTCACTTCTCACAGGTCACTTAAGTCACCTTCATTCCTTAGATGGCTTTGAAAATCCTACCTAAAACTGTTTCCTGATCTATCTGTATTCTGCAGTCATGTTTGAAACACCTTTACTTTGACTGTTGTTTCTGAAAAGTAGCTCAAAATCCAACCAAAGGAGGATTTACATTTTGGCCTTCCAGGATGAGAAAGAGAAAAGAATTCTCAAGACTGTGAGAAGAAAGGGTTTCCACAGTGCTCTGAGTAACACCCACAGCACATCTTATAAGATGGTATTTAACTTCCCCCTTTCCTACTTTAATGTGTGAGTGCTAGCAATTACAACTGACAACTGAACATAAATATTAGCCAGCATGAGTGTCCCTGAAGAGCATCCTTTGACACCAGGTTTGTTTCTCTGACCATTTAGTTTGTAAACCAGTGGACTCAGCAAGGTGCATGTTCACTAGCAGTAAAATAATGCCACACTTATGTCCATGTCAAATATCTATTCTCCACCCAAAAGTGGTCCATGACGCAATACTTTTCCAGCACACGTCCTCACTAATTAGTACACCAGTTCAGTGCATGGTCAAGCATCCCTGGCCAGACTGTTGCTGAGATGCTAGAGATGGCATACAGCCAACTCCCAAGACCCCTGGAACCGAGCACAGCTGACAGCAAGCCATCAC